TACTCCTCCCCAGCCTGGACCCTCAGCCGTCCTCGTCACCTGTGGTGCCATGTACCACCAGCGAGAGCCACCATCTCCACCGGCTCGGGGGACCCGGATGTGAATGATTGGCTGTCGATGTACGAGCATACCAGCACCAGTAACAAGTGGGGTGACCAAATGAAGCTTGGGTACGTCAAGTTTTATCTTACAGACATCACTCAATGGTGGTACAACAACCTTGAGAGCGACCTTCCCACTTGGTCTGCCTTCAAGACTTCTATTACAGACGTTTTCGGTCGGCCATCAGCTCGCAGAGTTCGGGCACAGTAGCACTTGCGTCAACGGGTGTAGCTCCCCAGTGAGAACTTTACAAGCTACATTGAAGATGTGCTAAACCTCTGTAACTGGGTCAACTCAAATTAAACACATCCTCAAGGGCATCGAGGACGACAATTTTCAGATGCTGCTCGCAAGGAACCCCCCCCCCCCCCCCCACTGTCGCAGTACTGATGTCCTTACGCCAGAGTTTCGACGAGTTGTGTCGGCAGCACTCGATCGCATGCTAAGCCTTGACAATGCCTGACACAATATCCAGCTTGCAGCTTACTGCTCGCCATTCCGATCATCAGCAGCCACTGCTATCCACCATCAAGGACTTCAACCGTGGGGAGGTAGCACGCCCGCTTTTATTGCTCCCTCTCACGCATGCACTAACACAGACATTGGCACCTGACACGCAGCACGCCATTCGAAACCAAATCGCGGAGGCATTAACCCCGATGTCCCAGCAAACACCCGTCTGTGCGCCACTTACTTATGACGCCATCGTCTCTCGGCCACCTCAGCAGCCTTTACCTTATGCCCACCCTGCGATGCCGACCTCCGTCTGACTACTAACCACGAATTCTGCACCACTGCTTTCCTACGCAGGGCCTTTGCCTCTGTTATTCCGCCGCCCAGACATTTGGCGAACGCTGGACAACAGGCCCATCTGCTTCACCATGTGGTGTCGCTGGCCACGTCACTCGCCCCTGCCACCACTACCTACCTTCTTTTTTCAACGCAATGACCACGCCCGCTCCCTCATCGCCAAGCACACCACCGACTGCCATCTCGGATAATCGCCCCTCCTCTTCTAGTGCCCTACCCCCATCTCCTCGACGACACTTTTTTGTCCCCCATGCGTCGGCACTCTGCTAGAGAGGAGAGAAACTATGCTGCAGCTCCGGAGGCAAGAGCTGCAGACAAGTCGGACTGCCCAAGGCCTCCATGTGTTTCGCCGCAAAATGTTATTGACGTCGTCGAAAGAGCTGCCGTCGTAGCACTTATTGACACAGGAGCTGCCATTTCCATTGTATCAAAGTGAACTTCTCGCTCTTCTGCAAAACTTCCGCTTAACTTTCAATTGCACCTGGCCAACCCTGGGCTGCACGAAGAGCGCCACTCACCACGTCGACCCCGGTTCCCATGCTCTGGTACACCAACGACCCCATCGGGTTTTCACGGCGGAGCGCAAGATTAATTCAGTCGAAGTAATTCAGCACGAAGTAATTCAGTCGTCCCAAGGACCCTGGTACTCTTCCGTAGTCCTATTATGCAAAAAGAATGAAACCATAAGATTCTATGTCGACTATCTCCGCCTCAATAAGATAACCCGAAAGGATGTGTACTGGCTTTCGCGCATCGATGATGCTCTTGACTGCTTACAAGACGCAGAATATTTCTTGTCCCTAGATTTACCCTTGGGGTATTGGCAAGTACCGATTGCTGACACTGATCATTCAAAAACTGCTTTCATCATGCCTGAAGGACTAAGAGTTTAATATCACGCCACTCAGATTGTGCAAGACCCCAGCTACATTCGAAAGAATGATGGACAACGTCCTATATGGCTACAAGTGGAACATTTGTCTTTGTCATCTGGACGACGTCGTAGTCTTTTCTAGGGATTTTCCAACTCGCCTTGTCCGCCTTCGGGAGATTCTGACATGCTTCAGCTCAGCTGGTCTCCAACTCAACATAAAAAAGTGTCAGTTTGAAGCATGCCAATTGATACTGGGTCAAATCATTTGCAAAGAAGGCGTTCTGCAGGACCCAGCAAAACTCCGTGCTGTGGTCGAATTCCTCGAGCCCCCTTGCATAAAGACGCTTCGAAGTTCATTGGGCTGTGTTTTTGCTTTTCCTTTTACGTGTTTTTCCTTTTACGAACCTTCTGATAGCTTCCAATGGCCCGTCTGCTAGGTCACGAGAGTGCGACACATCTTTCGAGATTCTTCGGCACTTACTAACATCTTCTCCGATACTTTGACCCGGATGCACCCACGAAAATTCATAACGATGCCAGCGGTGTCAGCCTTTGTGCCGTGTTGGCTTAAAAAAAGCCGGGGTACCAAGAATACGTCGTGGCTTACGCGAGTCAAACTCTGAAGAAAGCCAAGTGCAATTATTCTATCATAAAAAAATACCTCGCCATAATTTGGGCTTTGGCTAAGTTCCGTCCATACCTTTACGGCCGCTCTTCCAATGGCGTCATGAATCACCACACTTTGTGTTAGCTCTCATCGCTGAAAGATCTGTCAGGACGACTCGGTCGCTGGGCACTGAGGCTACAAGAGTACGACGTTCGTGTTGTGTACCGATCAGGCTGAAAGCACTTTGACGCGAATGCTATTTCTTGCTCACCTCTAGCATCCGCCATGGCTTCACCGCCCCTTTTGGTCTTCCCAGTCGCATCACCGACATGTCAGCGGAGCAACACAAGAATACGTGGGTTTGTCACCTGCTCGGCTTTCTGGCAGATCCATCAGCTTACCCCACTTCCAGAGCCCTGCATCATCAAGCGCCACATTTCGCCACTCGAGATAGTCTCCTCTATCGGCAGAATTACATATCTCATGGCCGGAGGTGGCTGCTTGTGATACCTCGTCACATGCGAATGCAAATGTGTGCTGCTTTACAGGCCAATCCGCAAAGCACTAACGCTGGCCTTCTCAAGACCTACACCCGCTTGCGTCAGAGGTACTATTGGGGCAGAATTTATCCGTATGTGTGCAAGTATATCCACGCTTGTACTGCCCGTCAGCGACGAAAGGCTCCCCTTCAGCAAGCTGCTAGTATTCTTCAACCTCTCTTGTATCTGACGCGTCCATTCGACTGCGTTGGCATTGATTTGTACGACCCGCTTCCCTCGACCACATCTAGAAATAAATAAACCATCGTCGGCGTAGACCACCTTACGCGTTATGCAGAAACGGCAGAATTGCCCACAAAAAAAAGTCAGAGAAGTTGCGTTTTTATTCCTACGCAACTTCGCCCTGTGCCACAACGCACCCTGTAAACTTCTGAGTGACAGAGAATATGTTTTTATGTCCGTAGTCGTCGAAGCAGTGCTCGTTCAGTGTAACATCATTCACCATAAGACCAGCGCATATAACCCGCAAACCAATGGCCTAACAGAATGATTCAACCGCACTCTTGGTGATATGCTGATGATGTACACCGCATCCGACCAGACAAACTGGGACGCCGTCTTTTCGTTCGTCACATATGTGTACAACACTGCAACACAAGCGACCATGAGGTTCTCACCGTTCTTCCGGACGCGAACCATCACGCATGTTTGACACCATGCTTCCTCACAAACCCGATGCCTCCGAGCACAGTCCAATTTCTGACATTGCCAGGTACACACAAGATTGTAGACAGTTGGCTCGTTGCTTTACGAGCGAGGACCAAGGTCGCCAAAAGCTTAGGCGTGACAACGACCAACCTCATGGTATTTTTCAAATGGATGCCCTAGTTTGGCTCTGGCTCCCACTGAATACTCCTGGCCTGTCCTGCAAGTTATTGGCCTGCTATCACGGCCCCTACTGCATTGTTGCTTGGACTTCTCCAGTCAATTACGAGGTTGACCCCTTGACACCATCTGACAACATGCGTCGTCGCGGCCGAGAAATCGTCCATGTCTCTCGCATCAAGCCCTGTTATGACCCGACTATACTATCAATGCCTTAAATCACCAGGATGGCCCCTCTATTCCCCTGGGCCATGTAGTGAAGGAAAGACAACGACGAAAGACACGAGCAAGCAAGCAAGCACCAGCGTCAGTAGCAGCACCAGACTCGAGCTCGCGCTTGCACAAATTTTGGCTGCTTGACGCCCGCCGCTCCTCGACGCTTCACGATAAACGTTTGTAGAGCTTCCCTGACATCCAGCATCAATAAACCACGTTATAGAGACGTTTCTTTAGCACAAAGACTATTATACACAATTGCTAGAGATAACCACGTCGTGTCACAATGAATCTGGTCTCTGAAGATAATATTCAGTGTGATCTATGCATTTGACTCGCAATGACATTGATATGACCAGAACTGAAGATGGTGGAAACAAAAGTATGAGTGTTAGTTAGTCCTAAATTGTTCTGTTTCTATCTGCGAGTGCTGTACATCTTTATAAGCAGGTCACCGTACTGTCTATGCTATGGGACGTCATAGAAATTTAGAGATGCATTTTTCTATTGCCAAAATAAAGAATCATTAATTCCATGAAGAAACCTTTCAAGAAAAATTATATTGATAATTACTGCAATCTTATGTGCAAGAAACACAATATAATTATGTAAGGCTTGCTGTAGTAGAGGGCTCCTGATAATTTTGACAGCCTAACATTCTTTGACGTGCACATGAACCTAACTACATAAACCTCTAGCATTATCGCCTTCATCAAAAAATGTGACCACTGAAGCCATGATTAAATCCATGACCTTCAATTCAGCATTCGAAATCATAACCATTGTAAAACCGCAGTGATAGGAATATTATATTACAATTATAGCCATGATAACGCCTTGACCTAAGCAGCAGTAATAAAAAGCACCATTGAGTAAATACACAATTTAAGAAAAAAATTCTGGAAGGACACTAAAATTTGGCATGACAGTTTAACTTTCACAGATAAACCGGAGAAAAAAGTTGAAGCCAGCTACTTGAAGTTTATTAGGGTAAACGTCTTCTTACCTTTTCCGGAATCAGAGTTTCGAATAACAATTTCATCTTTGAGAAAGTTTCGGCCTGGAATCCTGAAAACAAACAAACAAAAAGAAGAAAGAACAGACACAAAACTTAATGTCCGCTAATCTCATTATGGATACAATATTACAAGCGTAATAGGACAAAAGTAGGAATGCAAAGAAACAGGAAAAAGCAAAATAGAACTTTTGAAACTCACTTTGCAGGTTTACCAAACTTCCCCGAGCTCTTCAACACTTCTGTTGGCTGTAGCGAGAGTGGTGGTGATGTTGCAGGTGCAACAGGTGCCATGGGGTGCTGCTGCTGACTTTGCTGCGTCTGCTGCTGTTGATGATGCTGCTGCTGTTGATATTGCTGAGGCTGTTGCAAATAGGCCATTGATTTGGTGGGGTGTTGTACACTGGCCTTAACTAATTACTTTTCAATAAAAAAAAGAGTATCCAAAAAGTGCTAAATGTGGTTGGAATGTGAAAAAAACCCTTGTGCAGACACACCCAAACACTGGGTAGTCAAGCCTTTCTGCTACTCCCTTTACATGAACTTATACAGGAAGTAGTTCCAGAGCTAACCCATGAAATACAAATTGCTTTGGTCTAAGACTGTGGTTCTGTGGCTTGTGATCCGTCTCCTACACATTCATTCTGTGGTACAGTCATGTAAGGCACAAAAACTAGCACAATCTTGCTTACTAGCTGCATCATTATTGCCTAGCAAGACTGCCGACAACTAAACATTGGCCCAAAGAAAAGGGAGATACTGCGACTTTGTGCACGTTATCTCAAAACTGATAGGTGAAAGGTTATTTTCCATATATTGGGGACACAGAGTAGGGTAAATTACTAAAAAGAAAAAAATCTAAATGTTTTTTTTTTCTTTTTTTGTTTGGAATGATAAGGCCTTCCTTAACAATATCCAGTGCCCCACACACTTTTTCGCGTTTTGAGTGAGCCAAAAAACAAGGTTTTTGAGACCAAGTGAAGAGCATCGAATCCCCCTTACCTCATACTGTGCACAAACTGACCTTTCTGGTTCAGATGAACTTTAAAAAAAATTGAAACTGCTGGTTTCTCTGAACATAGAAGGTTTAAAAACAAATATTCTAGCTATTCAAAGACACAAGGTGCCGTTTTTTTTTTTAACACGCATAGCATTTACAGAGTCCCCTTGCATTGTGTTTATGATACGCGCAGAGACACAGTTCTGTGCATGTACTTTGAGTTTAGTTGCACCTTTCTTGGTTTTATTCCAGCGGTAAAAGATATCCTTGTACAGTAGACTCTCAATGATTCAAACTCTGATAATTATTAATTTTGGTTAATTCAAACAAAGTTCAATTTTTTTATTGGCCCTCTATTCATTCAATGTATTTGCAAGCCTTTTAATTCAAACTCCATCATCCAGTTAATTTACATCGCAGTTCCATTCTTTTCGCAGTTCCATACCAGAAAATATCTGCTACTTTCCAATTACAATTTTAAAATTTGCGTGCTTATATAATCCTAACAGTCGAAATAATTCAAAATAAGCACCTCAGACTTTCAAGGAAAGGCTTTGCTAGTAAACAAATGTTTGAAACGAAGCACACGCATGGTAAACCGTGATGCTTCCCAAATGGTATGGAGAGCTTTGTACTGAAGGCACATACTTATATGAAAGAAACAGTTTGCAATTCACGATTTCTTTAGGTCTGAACAGCAGTAAATGACCGATAAACTTGTGGACCTTACACCTCTGCTTTGTGTTCATCGCGTGCAGTTAGGGTATAAAAATGCTTAAAAAATTTTCAAGTCTGATAAAATGAATGCCTAATCATAATGTGTGGTGTCACCTCATCCACAGTCATATATTTGAGAAATTCTGATAATTCAAACTTCTTGACAATTCAAACAAAAGTAAGAGGTTCCTTCGAGTTTGAATTGAAAAGAGTTGACTGTATTGCAAATCAAGTAAATTTGTTAGAAAGCACAGTGTTATTGGAAATTGACTCACTTTGGCTACTAACACAAATGAGACCAGGGGTGCTTCAGCGAGTAAGCTTTGTCCTGATTTTGCATCACCAAAATGACAAAACGTTACCTCTAATGATATGTAACTTTTACAAATCGTGATTACAAGTATTTCTGTCTGCACAGGATGCAATGAAACAATGATGCTCATGAAGAACAGAACCGAACATGTTCCTTCAAATGAAAACACTCAGAACTACCACCTTTGAAAGCTTTCCAACTTTTGAAAAATAAAAGCCTGCATAGCCAGAGCAAGCATTCTAAATACCTTTTGTCATATCATCGAGGATCAACACTGCAATATAATTTGTCGAGATCAATCGCCACTGACAGTATTTAACAAGGATATGACAAAACAAGCCAGGGAACCAAAAAAGCTACAGAAGTACTGAAAAGCTGAGGCGTGTGATGACTATATCACAGGCTGCTATGAATTAAATTATTCAGTACATCACCTTTTGAAAAAATCATGAGATAAACCAGTTCTTGTTTAATTCTCAATATCTTGAAATCAATTCCTTTTCCCTTGCATTTGCATCATTATCGAAAAAGTTGAAAAAAAAAAACTGTTACTGTTTGTTTTTTTACCAGACTAAACTAAACATCAACATGAAGCCACTAAATTAGAATGGTGTGCTTATTCAAACTAGGCTATATTTTGTGGTGGGTTTACTGTAAAAATAGTGACAGAAACTACATGTTTTGCTCAAAAATTTGCAAAAAGTATCAACACTTGAAATACAATTGTAATTCTGGTTCTATTGCTAGAATAGATGCCAACAAATGAAATGAAAGCAATCTGAACACTTTACACAGAGCAGTTTTAGAGAAAATGGGTCTTAAAGAAACCTGAAAATACATGGGAGCTACAAGGCCTACCTTGTGCCCTTACAGAGGCCCTCCAACACTATTGAAGCACCTATTTTTTATTTCTGGTTTGCGTAGATCGATAGCTGGAGATTTTAGCATAGGTCTAAGCACCGATATCAAATGATTTAGTAGTTTATAAATACAATAAAGACACGACATCACTGGGGACCCCATCACTACGTAGTGGCATTTGCCATAACTTTACGGGTGAAAACGACGCCGGAAGGTTGCTGCCATATGATTAGATAAATGTAACGTTAGAGGCGATCGTGGTTTAAGATCAAAACTGAGGTTACTACTGTTTAATTTTTCTTTTCTGTGCTTTTTCATTGAACCCTGCACAGACACGGCCACAACAGAAAAAAGATCACTGACTACAAAGCACGACAGAGACACTGGCTGTCATTTTGCCACTGGATTTATGGCTCGCACGGATCGGATGTCCACATGAAAGACCTCTCCTTCTCTTCTTGTTTTTGGGAGTTCGCAAGCTTTTTCTTTTCGCATGTGCGCTTTTGAAGGGGTGCAGTGCACAATTGTTGTTTGTCCGGCAGCTCGCCGAACAACGCGCGAAGGGTCAAGAATACTTCACTATCCTGGTCTCACAAGTTGGTCTCACAAGTTCCTTTCTCAGAATAAGAGAAGAGAGTGACTTTGAATGTTGTGAAAAACAACAGAAGATACCTCGCTTCAACACAGTAGCCCCCGCTCACATTCTGGAAAGCCAGGCATCGGGCACGTTCATTACTTTGGCAACAAGGTCAACATTACTTGCAAAAAAAAAAGCAACAATGGGGTGCAAGCTTTCCCTATATAGGCGCTTCCAGCTTATTTCATTGGGGCAACCTTCTGACGTCATGGACGAGTTAAATGTGGTCAAGCGACCCTGCGAAAATAGAGTTGAGGATCGGCAATTTTTTCTTGCATCTTGAATTTTCTAAGTCGAATACATTCAAACGTCGTTATAACGAAGTTGAAGGGGAGCCACAATATTTTTGTTATATACATTATTTCGTTATATCGATTATAACAGTTAGTGGCAATGTATGCTCAGATGGGCGCACACTTATAAGCATACAAAGAAGGAAACCGCCTCCCTGCCTGATGTACCGCGACGCGACCACGCGTGCCACGGAAAATAAACGCAGTCGAATATAATTAATTCGAACTTTCGGGTAATTCGAACTCACGCTGAAGCCCGTCAAAGCTATTAGTATTCAAACGAGCGAAAACGCCCTGTAATTCAAACGCACAAGCACTTGCGACGGTTCATTCGAACATACCGCTCCGAAAATGCTCTCAGCACCATGCCCAATCCTGCGGCGGCACCTCTCAACGCTGCGCGCGAAGAAGGAAAAGAAGAAAAGAAAAGTAAAGACTGAGGCGGATTGTTTGCTCTCTTTCAAATGCCGACCTGCGACCTGCCTGTGCCACGCTTCTCCCTTTTCCGTCTCTGCACGTAGGGACCCTTCTCCTTTCAAGGCCGCGTGCGCAGAGAGAGAGGGAAAAAAAAAGCTGTCGCAGAGAGTCCTCCTTTCTCGGTGCAGAGGGTAGTAGCCATGGTAGCAGTGGAGACTCAGTCGTTGCCATCTTGAGAGGGAAATCACTTTGCACCGCGGCGCCGCTTCTCGGTCATGTGACCTGCTGAGTGCTTACTCAATCCTCTTCGCTGGTTGTGTGAGAAGGACGGCTCTCTCGGTCGCGCATGGCGTGGCTGCAAGGTCGGCGCGGGAGTTTTGAAAGAGCCGCGATGAACGAGCATCAAACTCCGCAGAAAACATATTTAACACACCACGGTAGTTTTTTTTTGTAGACTATTTGATAGACTAATTCAGTTCCTTATATCCATTTACCAGTCAATATTACTTCGTTATGAGGTTTAAAATGCATGGTTCTCAATAGAGCTTTCAAGGGGAATTTCATTTACTTCGTTATATCCATTATTTTGTTATATCCCGTTACATTATAACAAGGTTGGAGTGTAACTTCAGACTGCGGGCCGTTATGACTGCTGTTTTTGCTGCATTAGCGTGTCTGTACTTTAGTCTACACAACCCATGAATAAAACATGGCGGGTTGAATAGTGTTTGGGGGCCCCTTTAATGCCTTAAAAACAGTCATGCTTTTAATTTTAAATTGAGTACTATAAGAGAAAAAAGCACCCAGGACATTTTGCTTGTGTAAAAGCTGAACTTTTGTTTAGCCCAAGAACATAACCTCTGATAAGATGTTCAGGCATGTATAGTACGTTTTGCCACCTACAAATAAATTTGTTAAATTTCAGGGGTAAAGCATTATCGAGCAGACATTCAGAATTATCATAAAGCCTACATCCAGGAGACTCGCCACAGGGAGTGCATTTGAGGCTATTGAAGCAAACCCTAACTGAAAAATCAGAAAAAGGTCGACCTAAACTCAAACCAATATTCTTAGAACATGCCTGAACCTGAATCAATCGTCATCTAAGGTACTGACAATTTGGTG